CGCGCACCCCACCCCCAGCAACCGCGGCGGCAGCGGCCGCGGCAGCGGCGGCGGCAACAGAAAAGGAGCCGCGAAGGCCCCCGCGCGGAGCATGTCGGGTATCTGGACGGCCTCGGCTCTGCCTGCCCAAAAACCTGGCCGGAACCAGTACTGTCAACTTAATCCTGCCTATAGTGTCCCCGAGGCTTGACTCCTGTTTTGATTAATCGCACGTGAGAGTGGGATTAGTGCTTGTGTTTTCTGCTTTTCCCTTAAGCAGACGACTCCGGAGAACTGGGTCCTGCAGGCGCGCCAAAGCCGACTAGCAACCCAGAGAATGAATCAGAGGCTGAAGAGAAAGAGGGGCGAGTTTGGGTTGGACGAAGTCGGATTTTATCTTCTCATTCTTTGGGTTGTCATAACCTTGTAGTCCCTCTTAAAGGAGATGAAAACGGCTCTGGGCCATCTTCTTAGTAAAAAGGCTGTGAGTTCAATATGCCGTCGGTGGTGACAAGAAACTTGCTTGGATGAAGTCATGTGAGCCGAACACATTGGCTCGAATCCCCAAAGAGGGGAGTGTCAGGGCACGCGGATTCCTTGGAGAGGCTGAGGTAACACGCTGGCTCCTTCCCTGGAGTTCCCGAATTCCCAGCTTCTGATTCTCTGTGGAAAGCTCGTCTGGTAGGGCGTGGGCACCTACTGAGTAACTGTGCAGTCACTAAGCAGCTGTGGCTATTAGAAAATGAGTTTCACAACCCAAGGTAGCCTCCCTAAACTGAGCACAAAAAATAAAAATAAAGGAGCTGAACGATTTAGCTAGAAATTGATTAATGATTCCTGGCAACTTAAAATGATTTAATTATTTTACAAATTTAACAAATAATTATTTCTCTATATCAAGTAGAAAATTTTTGTTTTGGAGAGGTTTTTGCTATAGGGCGCGTGCACTGGCCAGAAAGACAGAGAGAGAGAGAGACAGAAAACGAGAAATCACTCCCCGGGGGGATAGTCACTCCGCAATCCCTTCTCCATTCTCCTCTAGGGATCTTGGGCACCCACACACAGACGCCTAGCTTGAGTTTAAGCCACCGGATCCAGGACTGGAACCGCTGTCGACTACACGGGATTCCAGAGACATAGCCATTAGGCCAACTGCTGGTCCCTCAAGTAGAAATTTTTGAGAAGTATCAACTAGGGATTTTGTGTCACTTAGAAAAAAATTAGTAAACTGATCTGGCACATAAATTAAAATTATGTAATTTATATTCAAATTACAGCATTTACAAATGGCATAGAAACAAAATATTGACACTCAACAACAGGGTTATTATAGAGGTATACAGAGTGCTTCTTTTAAAAAACGATTTTTTTATGTAACTTTATTACTATTTGCTATAGGGCATGTATGCTCACCAGAGAAAGAGAAAAAGAGGGAAAGTGAGAAAGCAAGCTGCCAGGTCCAGGACTGGAACTGCACTCAGCCATGTGGAAATCCAGTGCCTACCACACCATCTCCTGGCCCCAGAGTGCTTTTAAAGAGTCCATTTTAGGACTGGCAGGTGGCATAGTGGTTAAGAGTGCTCAACTTCCATGTGGGTGACCATGGTTCAAATCCTGGACCTGGTGGCTTGCCTCACTTTCCCTTTCTCTCTCCCTCTGTCCCTCTCTGGTCAAATTAAATAAATAAATGAATAAATAAACTTAAATAATTCTTTATTTTAAAAAGTCCATTTTAAATGTAAGTACCCTTTCTGAAACTGAAAAATGTATATTAAAGTAGCAATCAGATAGCATTTTGTCATTCTGAAAAAGATGTAAAAGAATAAAGAATCTGAGAAATCATACACTCCCATGTTGTGGGTGAAGTTTAAATTAATATCTAAGGGAAATATTTGGTATTAAGTAATAGACTTTTAAAAATGTATCTTTGGACCCCGAAAATCCATTTTTGGAAATTTGTTCTAAAGGTATTCTTTAAACACACTAACAAAGGTGTACATGGGCACATTATAATATGAAAATATTGTGGGACCAGCAGTTGGCGTAATGGCTATGTTGCTGGACTCCCATGTGGTCAACCGCAGTTCGAGTCCCAGACCCGGTGGCTTAAACTTAGGCCAAGTGCGTGTGTGTGCCTACCCAAGATCCTGAGGAGAGAATGGAGTAGAAGGGATTGCAGCGTGGCCATCCCCTCTAGGGAGTGATTTTTCGCTTTCTGTCTCTTTGTCTCTCTCTGTCTTTCTGGCAAATGCACACGCCCTATAGTAAAAACCTCTCTCCCAAACCAAAAAAAAGAAAAGAAAGTATTGTTAACCACAAAGTATCTGACATAAGAGACTAGACAACTTAAATCACCTCTTGGTGTCCGTTTCCTTACCTATGAGGAACAGAAATAATAATAGAATTGTGAAGATCAGATACAAGCTAAACCCGTAAAACAGTGTCTGACATGTAGTAAGCACTTGGTAAGTATAAATAATCTATATAATTAGTATTATACAGCCATTGAAGTTTTTATATAGATATATATTCACATAGACTAAAATGACAAATATGCGCAATTTTAAAAGTCTGAAAGGAAATATGTGAGAATATATGTCATGACTGTCTCTAAGTGATAAGATTCTGGATATTTTTATTCTTCATGCATTTTATATTTGCCAAATATTTTAATGAAAATATATCGATATTTCAAAAGCAGGAAAAAAAATATATAAGGATGTAAAAAATGTAATATATTAGTACTACTGTATTCCTAACATTTTGAGGGACTAATCCCAAAAACTTGTATTTCATTATGATAAATATAAAACATTCACAAAACATCACTATTAATAGGGAAAGCAGGGGTCCAGCAGGTAGTATGTTGGTAAAGGCACTGAACTCCCACATAATCAACAGTGGTCCAGTTCGATGGCTTGAAAATCACACTGGGAATGTATGTGTGTGTGCCCAAAATCCCAAAAGGAGAATGGAGGCGACAGAATTGTAGCGTGGTCATACCCCCAGGGAGGTGATTTCTCTCTCTTTTTCTCTGACTCTAGAAAATCTACATGCCTGGTGGCAAAAATCTAAAAAGAAAAAAAAAAAGGAAAGTCAAACATTCTCACTCAAAAACGTGCTCATAATTAGTGGGATGATGAAATCTGGTGACAACTTGTCCACCTGCAGTTGCTGAGCAGTGTCTTCAGTACATAACCATAATTGCCTTCCATTAGACCCAGATATTTATGAAAATGTATTTGGATAGCTTTGTGCTTCAGTAATGAGACTGAATCATTCTCTTGCCAGCAATGAGCTAGCTTATAAATTGTTCAAGCATTTATTATCAGTATGTGTGCATTGGTAAAAGCATTTTAGTATTGCTAGCATTATCTGTGTATTCTGATCTAAAAGTTAGCTATCAAGGGTCTTTATGGCTAAAATACTGTTAAAATAATTGGTTTTGAGAGGTTTCTACTATAGTGCACATGCGCTTGCCAGAAAGACAGAGACAGAGAAACAGAAAGTGAGAGATCACCCCCCCCCAAGGAGGATGGCCACGTCTCAATCCCTTCTCCTCCATTCTCGTCTCAGGACCTTGGGCACACAGGCACATGAGCCTGGAGTTTAAGCCACCAGGTCCGGGACTCAAACCACAGCTGACTACATGGGAGTTCAGTGACAACCATTACGCCAACTGCTGGACCCAAAATAAATATTTTTAAATGTAAAATGTAATAATACTGTTATTTAGCATAAAAACCAAATATAAAATGCAAAACGAGTTTGTATTTCAAGGCTAACTTTCCTTGTTATACCTTTAAAACATTGAAACTCCAGAGTTTGTTAATGTTCTTACAGTTTTTCAGCATTTGGGGGCCAGCTAGTGGTATGGTGATTAACGCAGCTGGATCCCACATGGACAACTGCAAAGTGAGAGTTCTGGACCTAGCTGCTTGAAAAACACAGCAGGCACATGTGTGTGCATGTGCCCAAAATCCCAAGAGAATAGAAGGGACTGTAGCATGCCGTCCCCCTTGGGGGATGATTTCTCACTTTCTCTTTCTCTATGCCTCTCTCTGGTGAGTACATAGCACCCTGTAGCAAAAACTAAAATAAATAAATAAATAATAAATTAAAACAGATCATTTTAAAGACTATGTGCCAATCTCACATTAAAATGTTTCTTTGTTTAATAGATTTTATGGTTCTAAAACATTACACCCTTTTATTCTGTTTGGTTTTGAAATTCAAAATTCTTCTACATTAAACACTACGATACTGACATACAAGTGGAGTTATTGTAGGAAAAAGTTATGATATTAAAGTTCAAGAAAAGCAAAGCCCCAGGGAGGTACTAAAAGTTTAAATATTCCAATCAAAGTAGGAATTACTAGTATTGTTCAGATTTATACCTCTCCCTCCAGCCTCCGTATCACTACTTTAGTTCACACCTTTATCATCTCTTTGGCAAATTATTACATTCACCCACTACTATGTTTTCTTCTTTTCTATGTCTGTGGACTAAATTGTATCCCCCAAAATTTATATGTTGCTGTAACCCCAATTGGTGGTATTTGGAGATGGGATTTTAAGAAGATAATTAAGTTCAGATGAGGTAATAAGGCCAAGGCCCTCATTGTAGAATCAGTGCCCTTTTGAGAAGAACATACTGGATGCTTGCTCTCAGTTTATCTTGTGCCACACAGTGAAAAGGCAGGTGTCTGAAAGCCAGTATAAGAGCGATTAACAGAGCCTGACTATACTGTCACCCTGATCACAAACGTCTAACCTCCAGAACTGTGAGAAAATCAGTTTCTGTTGTTTAAGTCACTCACTCTGATACTTTTAAGTAACCCTAGCTAACTAATACACCTAACTCCAAACCTTTCTCTACACCACTGCCATAATGATTT